GTATGTTGATGTTTTAAAAAGAATGTCATGTAATTCATTTGATCGTGCTGCATGTTATTTTTGTTAGTGCTATTAATAAAAAATTAATGTAACTGTATTGTTTCGTTGTGTAGTTTGCTGTTTTTATGTTGATGTTAAGATGTTATTGTACTGATGTTGTTGTTATTGTTTAACTTAGATATCGCGTAGTTTGTATTATTGATGTGTTGTCTGTTGTTTAAGTTTTAATTTTTAACTCGAAGAGAAATTTATTGAGAGATCTGAAAAAAATATTTTGGCAAAAAAAATTTTTCAATACAAAAACAAAAAAATAACAACGAACCCAAGCAAGTCGTCAGCAATGACGTCATTAAATTTAACGAAAATGTCAACAGCCTGTCTTCACTAAACAACCCAGCATTTTAAACAACATAAGCAACAACAACAACAACAACAACATTAGCATCTTATAAAACAACAACAACAACAACGAGACAATATTTACATCTTAAACAACATAAACAACAACTACAACAGCAACAACAAAAACAAATCTGCGACAAAACAACTTAAACACCTACAAAATAAACTCCAAATTCAAAAAAAAACTAAACAAAGAACTACCATGCATGTAAATAAATATTTCATTAACTAATTACTAACTTACTGTTTCTCTTAGATTTACTTTAACAATTTTTCGTTTACTTATCGTCGTCACCATCATCATCAACATCATCATCATCACCACCATCATCATCGTTATCATCACAATCATCATCTTCATCGTCGTCATCACTATGGAATCATCATCCAAAATATTAATATTTTGGTTTGATTATCTGCGGAATTTAACATTAGTGATAAAATATTCTTGCTAATTATGATGCTACTATGAAAGTACAACCTCTTCTGCTGCTGCCACTACCATTACTACTACTACAACTGCTACGACTGCTACTACATCTACTACTACTACTACTATTATTAATAATAATGTAATAATTGTTATTATCATTATTATTATTATCATTATCATTATTATTATTAGTTGTTATTCGCATGAAGTTGATCATTGACGAGATTGCATGCATTCTCATAATGATGATTAAAATGATCGACCAGTTTTTTCAGTTTTTCCATCATCATCATTATCATCTTCTCAAAACTATCACCATCATCATCACATATCTGAATCAACATCGTCATCACGTATATCATCACCATCATCTTAATTATCATCATTATCAAATTTTTCATCCTATATCTCAATACATCACATATGTCATCACCATCATCTTAATTATCATCATTCTTACAACCTTAATCACCATAAAAATTAAATAACGTCATTATCACCAAGGTTTCAATCATCGCTACAGTTGTTACACTAGATGAGCTCTTCTAATACGAACTCTGATTATGGTAATTCTGCCATCTGATTAATTTCTTAGTTTTGAGCGGCAGGGAGAATTTTGTTTCGTTTCGTTTCGCTTTAAAATCATCAACAACGTCATCAACAACTAACAAAATGTTTGTCGTTGATGACGTTGTTGTTCGTGATGATGTTTAAACAACAACAATAACAAAAACTACAACAACAAAAACAACAACCACAACAACAACAAACTAACTAACTATTAAAAACAACAGCAGCTGTTTTGAACAACTGATTTAATTACAACACCAACAAAGAACACAACAACTGCTGCGTTTGGTGCAAATATAACAACACAACAAAAATAACAACAACAGCAACAACAACAACAACATTCCCATCATCAACAACGACAACATTTTCAAACACTACCACTACGATTACAACACTATCAATAACAAAAATAACACACACACATAGACACACACCAGCACAGATAAATTTATATATCTATCTAAACTTATTTAATGTCTACATCAGATATTTATATCTAAACAGCAATGATACAATCAACATCATCAAAGCCATCAACAACATCAGCAACATTAACGTCATCAACAACAATATAAACAACCGGATACAGAAATAGAAGATACTGAATACGAACAAGATACATCACGTGGGCGGAACGTATGTTGGATAAATCTACTTACGTGCGTGTTTACATGTATTTGCGCCTATATATGCGTGTATATATATGCGTATATATGTGCGTATATATGCGTGTATACATGCACTTTAAATGTGCTTATATGTGTACTTGAATAGGTATAAATTTTATGAATACATCAATGTATCCCAATTTAAATACAAATAAATGTTTTTATCAACGGTTTAAATGTATGAGCGTACAACCAAGTATGTGTAGTTATGTATGTCTGTGTGTATGTACGAACGTACGTATGTGTGTATGTGTGCATGTGTGTATGCGCATTTGCTTGTACGCACACGTATATGTGTATTTATTTGTATGCTATCGGTTGTATGTAGGAGATGTTTTGGTTATCCGGCAGCGTATGAAACAACGTAGGAAAGGGACTGTTTCTATGTATGTGTGTATGTATGCGTCTTTATGCTGTGTCTGTGTGTATGTATGTTTACATCAGTGGGTATGTGTGTAAATATCTGTTCGTGTAAATATATGTATGTATGTATATATATATATATGCATATATTCATGCTTGTGTTTTTATGTGTGTATGTGTATATATATATATGTGTGTATATATATATATATATGTATGTATATATATGTGTGTGTATATACATATAAATATATATATTGACTTGTTTGGCTGCATATGTGTGTGTTTTTTTTGTGGTGTGTGTGTTTATAAATACGTGCATTTGATACGTATGTAGGCAAATAGCGATATATTTCAATTAATGCCAATTAGTTTTCAATGTAATTAATTTGTACCATCTTGTCTGTCTGTTTGTCTTGACTGAATGTTGATGTCATTGCTGTTATTGTTGGTGATGATGTTATGACGATAGTGGTGATGATATTATGAAGATAATGGCGATATACATACGGTTATATACATGCAAAAATACACACACACGTACGTATATAATGTAATGCACATATACACATTTTTTGACGCCTTCGCATTCAAACCATCATAATCATATAATCCTATTTACACACACATTCACACAGACACGCACAACCACACTCACGCACACATGTACAAATGCACTGTGCATAACTCTACATAGAACTAAATGCTTCAAAAAATACAAACATTTGTTTATCAACACAAACGAAAAACTCACCGATGAACAACACAGAAAATTTTTACTTATAAACACACAGACACACACACATACGCAGACATAAAGACACACGTACACACACGAGCACACACAAACACACACATACACACACAGTGTTAATATATGCTGATCACCAATAAAGTTGGTATATGTTTGGCTGTACATTACAGATTATAAATAAAAATATATTAAAAATTCTAGCATCATTTTTGTTTGTTTATTCTTTGTTTTGTTTTTTTTCAAAAAAATTATAATAATTTTAATAAATATTATAATAATTGTATAAATAATTTGGAAAAAAATAAAATGTTTTTTTCATGAAAAAATAAAAATATGGCAAAAATGTTTGCGATTTGATTCTGAAAATTTTTTTCAATTCCTGATGACATATTCAGTGTGAATTTTGTCAAAAATGTTTTATTTTCTTGCCGTTCCCATAGTGTTGATTTGCATTTTTGGGGTTTTCATACAATTCATTTTTTGTTTCTCAGTTCTTTTCTATGTTTTTGATACAAAAACGTTGTTTTTTGTTTGTTTTTGCTGTTCAGGCGGAAATGTTTGTCTGTCTTCTTTTTAATGCAATTTAAAAGGAATTTTTTTTCTCGATCAAATCGTGTTTTTTTATATTACTTTGTATATTTTAATAAACAATTTTTGTCTTATTTTAAAAAGACAGCAAAGCTTATGTTTTTTTTTTACAAAAATTCTCCAAAAAAATACAAGACAGATAAACAAAAAGTACAAATATACAAGACCATATTTTATTTTCAAGTTTTTTTTGTGTACATTTTTCTACAATTGTTTTTAATGTTTGTATGTATGTTTTTCAGACAATTTTCAGGCAAAAAAACTTCTTTTTCATATATTTATGCAAATTTTGAGCGCGTTATTTCAATTGAGGAATGACATATTTGGCGCGGTTCACCAGAGAGTCGGCACGACGTCCATCCATCAAACATGAAACTACACTCCTTTCAATACTACTTCTAAATATTTTTCAGTGCTACTCTGTATTTTTAAACAATACTCAATCTATTTCTTAGTATTTTAAGTATTATTTAACATTTTGAATAAATTTAAATTTTTTTAAAAACACTACTCTGTATCATAGCGTTTTATTTAGTAATATATTTAATTTTATAAACTTCTACTTAATAACACATGCAGGGACTTAGTATTTCTTAGGTTTAATAACGTTTAATTCCACTAAATCACTTTGTTCTACTAATTTTAACTTTTTAATACTTTCCTTTTCTCCCTTCCCTTGTTCAGTTCCACGGTTCTGATGTACGCATAGCTGTTTAAATTATCAACACGCTGCAGTATTGAAACCCCCGGTGAAGTTTCAATGGAATTTTAAATTTATATTCTAGTAGGTCTCGAGGACTGTATATTCACACAAGTTCACAAACACATACACACCACACACACACACGCACAGCTACACAAACACACACTCACTCACACACACTCACACACACATATATATATATATATATATACGTATATATACACAAACAACACACAAACATACACACACATTGTCATAAAAATGCTCATAAACGTACGTTTTATATATTATTATACATATACTCAAAACCATTGCATTACAGTTTCAAGTTTGATTTGCTGGTATTTGAAGCAGGCCAATAGGGCTTCTCTCTGCTTGAAACACTTCACTTGCTTTAACAACCAACAGTTTTATTGAAACTTTATTTATTAGATTTTATTTTATATCACTATTTCTTTCATTTTATCATATTATTACTGTTATTCTATTATTTATATTTATTTTATATTTATATTGATGTTGGAGGGGAAGACAGCATTCAGGTTTAACTTTATTGCTGATAATGTCAGACAAGAGCGATTTTATGCACATGATCTAGGATTATTCAATTCATATTTCATTGGTTTGTGATGTCTTTTCCAATGTTCCTCTCACTGCTCGTGAACATGCCTACAGAACTTGCACGCAGACTGCAGTTGAGTATGATACCCAAATTTTGCCGTGTGCATTTTGAAGCTGCTATGAGTGTGTCATCAAATACAACAGCAGCAGAACAACATTACTACTAAATTATTATTTTGTGAAAGTAAAAATCACCATAAGCTATCGCCACCATCATCATCGTCGTCATCATTAGATCTTTCATCATCGTCAAATAATAACGTATGTATGTAATGCTATTCATCATCGTTGTTCTAGTACTATTAAATTTCACTCCGCCTCACGCTATGACGTCATCATAGATAAATAAATGAAATGTAAACAAAGATAAATAAAGTAAATGAACGCGCCTAAAAACCAGCAACATTTAAAATACTGTTTACTTGTTTTATTGCAGGTTTGTTTGTAAACAATTGCTCTATTAAATTTCACATAAAGTTTTGAAAATTTATAAAATTAAAATTATATCTTTATTATTTATTTAATTGGTGATTATTATATTATTGAAGGGTTAATAGTTACTTTATTATCAGACTATAATTAAGTGTTCGACCAATACTCCAGTCAACTCTACTAAATTTTGAATTCGTTGGAGGACAAGATGGCCATGGATTTCAACTACTACTTCGATGTTATGCATGATAGAGGGTTGGTTGGTTGGTTGATTGATTGGTTAATTGATTGATTGGTTGGTTTATTGATTGATTGGTTAATTGATTGATTGGTTAATTGATTGATTGGTTGGTTGATTGATTGGTTGATTGGTTTGTTAGTTGTTTGATTAGTTACAAGTCATTAAGGAATATTTAAACTAAGTTAGAGTCAAAGTTTTGACATATCTACATAACTTCAAAATAGCTTACCTTAACGTGGAGAGCATTTTATAAGCACGTTCAATGTACTCGTCAATAAACATAAACAATAATATAGACATAAGCACATACACGTAAACCTACATACATATAATACATATAATACAAAAAAACACATACAAACAAACACATACAAAAGAACACATACAAAACAAACACATACAAACAAACACATACAAAAGAACACATACAAACAAACACAATCATACAAACAAACACATACAAGAGAACACATACAAACAAACATAATCATACAAACAAACACAAACAAACACAAACATACAAACACAAACGTACGAAACATCAGAGCTCTACCTTTGAACAAGGAACCAACATACACAACAACTGGAACGAAACTGTTGGAAGCTGTCAAGTTAGTGGAGGAGGTAGAGAAGACTCTCTACATGAAGAAGAAGGTTTTTATTCACACATTTTTAAAGTTGAAAGGTTAAAGGTTATTTTTGGTTTAGTTTATTTTAGTGCAATAGTACCAACGATACGCAGCGTATGTGAATGTAGATTGCTGGTTGGATAGATATCTAGATGGATATCTAGATAGATAAAGATGGATAGATGTTCCACATATTTCACATGATTGCATTTTGCGAACTCGGTCACCCTGCCGTTATGATTTCACGAATTTGTCGTCAAAATTTTAAAATAAGAATGAATTATTTTGAAAGGATTTTAAGATGAAGATGAAGATTTTGAAGTTTAAATCGAATCTCGTCAAGAATAAAGAGACTCAATTGAAGGAGACAGTCGCTAAGTTTAATAAATTCGTTCAGGTGACTATGAAGATTTGGATGATGATGGTGATGGTGGGTTGACGATGGTGACAAACATGATGATGCTGATGGTAATAATAACAATGTTAATAATAATTAAAATAATAATTATAATAATAATAATGAAAATAATAATAATAATAATGAGAATAATAATTTGAACAGGAAAATGATTATAAGAAGTGGAGAGCTCACGTTAAGATAGATGAGGAGCAACAGGCTATCAAGGCATTAGCCAACGATATTGATACGTTAGAAACAAAGCCAAAAACACACTCACAAACGCACACACACACATACATACACACATACACGCAGGGCTCAATCACAGTTAATTTCACTAGCAAAATTCAAAGAGAAGCTATTGAAGTGGACACAGCAGCGACGAACTTTTTTAGATTTCATGCAGAAAGTGCACCAGAGAACAAGTTACGATTTTCCAGAGCTGAGACACATCATCGCCAGAAAGGAAACTCTTATGGCTATCCAGGAGGTATTTGTTTGTATTTATGCGTATTTCTGTAAGTTCGTTTTCTGTGAATGTGTCAGTGTATTTATGATTGTACGTGTAGGTGTGGGTTTTTGTGGGAATGTAATTGTAGATTTTGGTGTAAAACTTAAATATTTTCTTCAATAAATGTGAATTTTCACCAACCAACCAACTAGCCAAACAAACCAACTAATCAACTAACAACTAATCAACCAAACAACCAACCAACTCATAAAAACTTTCCATCATGATGACAACACCGAAGGAACTGGTGAATAGGATATCCGCAGGGCTAGATGGATGCGAGAACGTAAAAAACGCCCTGAAGAAATATGTCGAGGTTTGTAGAGGGTAATAATAATACTAATGAGAACAATGATGATAAATAGTATTTATTATATAAATCGACTGACCAACTAACCAACCAGCCAACCAACCAGCCAGCCAATTAACCAGCCAGCCAATTAACCAACCAACCAATCAACCAGCCAACCAATCAACCAACTAACCAACCAACCAATCAACCAACCAACCAATCAACTTGATTGACAGGACCAAAACATGTTCATAATACATTTGAACCTGGAGTTAACCGGCCTGAAGAAAAGACGAGAAGATATCAAACAGACCACATACGACAGTAACATAAGATTGAACGAAATTTACGCCAAAGTTAAGGCAAGTTCTGCCGAAGTCAAGCAAATATTTCTGTACGTTCTCGATGACAATGTATTATTATTATTTTTTCTTCGTCTATTGTTACTATATATTTATTATGGTGCTGTTATTATTATTATTTTTATTATTATTATTGTTGTTTTTGTTGTTATTATTATTATTATAGATAAAGATAGTGTTGTTAGGTTTGTTTATTAGATGTGTTTTTAAACGCTGAATTTTTTAACCCTGTAAAACGATTGATGTATTAATGTATTTCTATTGTTTTAGTTGATGTTGTTGACATACACACAGACATAAACACACAGACATAAACACATACAAACGTATAAAAACATGTTAGACATTTTGTTGATGTCATGATGCAACTAATAATCCTTGTTGCTGTTGTTAATTCGTGGCACTAGATACTTTTTTTCAAAGGAATAGTTGGAAATTTATTGTCAAGTTGTTTGTGTTGTTATTGATGTCATGGTGTTAGTGTTATTGATGCCATGTTGTTAGTGTTATTCATGCCATGTTGTTAGTGTTATTCATGCCATGTTGTTAGTGTTATTCATGCCATGTTGTTAGTGTTATTCATGCCATGTTGTTAGTGTTATTCATGCCATGTTGTTAGTGTTATTCATGCCATGTTGTTAGTGTTATTCATGCCATGTTGTTAGTGTTATTCATGTTTTCTGTAGTCCTGTTGTTGATGTCGCTTTTGTGAGCCCATTAGTCATTTTTATCGTGATCAACAACGTGTACATTGGCAGCTGCACAATCATCATCGTCATCATCTTCATCATCATCATCATCTTCTTCTTTTTCTTCACCATCATTCTCATCACTATCATCATTATTATCGCCAGCATCTACACAAACAATGCAGATACGTACAGACACAAACACACAAACACACACATCTAGAATTACATAAGCTCATCCACACAAACATACACATACAGACGCAGACACAAATTAGACATACCTTCAAATACAAATGTTTTTAAAGACAAACAACAAATATAGACATACCTTCAAATACAAATGTTTTTAAAGACAAACAACAAATATAGACGCACAGGCAGACAGCATTTTTACAGTGATACAAACAAATAGAAACAAAGGTAAAAAAAAACATGCATACACAAACAATATACAAACATACAGGATGGCTATAAACAGTGTGGCTGGTTAAATACAAAAGCAGGCAGCAATACATTCACACACACACACAACACACACACACACACACACAAGATGTCTAAACAGCATGTGTGACTGGCTGGTCACTTATGAAGGCATGCAGTCCATTCACAAACCAGCTGATCTGGAGAAGTGCATCGAAATCGTTCCATTGGTCAGTTCCATGTTGATGACGACGACGACGATGATGATGATAATAAAAATTAATTATGATAAAATGGAAATGATGATGATAACGTGGCATCATATCACTTACATTATTTTTTCTTTATAATAATTAATAGGAAACAACGAGCCAGTAACTTAAAGATTTTATAAGAAATTTAAAAAATGTCAGATAAGATTTACATGTTTATCAATGATTATACAGACAAACGTTGATAATAAATCATATTCATGTGATTTGTATACACGTCCATGATTTATCAGTCAGCGACAGTCTAGCCTTTAAATTCGCGAGAAATTTTCAAAATTTGATTTGTACGTATACTGCAATGCTAGAATCATTAAACACACAAAGCTAATACAGAAATCGAAACTAAATTAAAAATAATCCCATCAGTAGGGTAGGGTTTATCCAGAATCACCCCTTGTGGCTACACCTTTGATTAGGATAAAGAGAGCATAGATTATGATACAGAACTATATACTTAGTTGAATAAAACCTTCTACATTCCCTAGCTGGCCAAACACGTGGCCTTCTTCACTTCCGTTGTGGCAAGGGTGAAAAAGGACCTTATCAATTCCCCAGCTGATCTGCCACCTTGTGAATAGACGAAAAATATATTTTGAATGATAATTGTCACAATGGTATTTATTAATTAATTAATTAATAATAATAATAATGGATAATAATTATTAAATTTTGTTATATTAGGCTTTTATTGAATATTTTCGCTTCTAGTTTAAAAGGTCTGTTTACGAATTTTTGTCATTCTGGGATTTTAAAAATTTTCTTTAGTAATAAGTTTAGAAATAAAAAAAATAAAATGATAATAAAATAATCGAAATAAATATTCATTAAAAATTAATTGAATAATGACATGTCGTATAATTTGTCAAAGAAGACAAATTTTTTTGATATTTTATGGAAACTAATTCATTACGCTGGTGGTGTAGTGTTAATGGCTGACTACGTAAGAAGAACAAAGAAAACGATGGTGGACCCGCAATAGAACAAAACGCGCGCTAAATTTCATAAAATAATTCACATTTGATATGGATTTTTCATACTTTTGTTACAAAAGTCGTAAAACATTTTTTTCTATGTTTAATTATTGATGATTTTAATTGTACATGTTAAAAAATTATTTCAAATTATGCATACATTCATACATATACGAATATCATGTGTGATACAAACGTGAATTTTTGAATGCAAGATAACATGTGCGTACGTGCATGCACTCTAACACAGAAATGGGCATACTTTTTGCTGTGAGGGCCGCATTGAGAACAATTTTACCTTTGAAGGGCCGTATATGTATTTAAACAGCTAATTTTTTCAACTCGAGGGGGAATTTTTTAGAATTTGTGGCTTCTATTTTTAGGTCAAAACGTCTGGCTGAGCTTTTTTGGCCGCCCGCCGACCGTAGTTTACCCCCCCCCCCCCCTTGTACTACCATATTGTTGGTGGCTGGATATGTTTCAAGTTATCGCCCAATGACTAAATTCAGTTGCAGTTTGTTTTCCAAATTCTTCGTTTATTCATTCATTTGTTTGTTCGTTTGTTTGTTCGTTCGTTCATTCATTCGTTTGTTCGTTCGTTTGTTCGTTCGTTCGTTTGTTCGTTCGTTTTTTGTTTTTTGTTTGTTCGTTCACTCATTCATTTATACGATTATTAGTTCGTTCATTCTTTCAGCAACCAACGTTCTATCTATTCAACATTCCGCCATAATAATTCATCTTTTCATAAACAGTTTTTTAATTTTTTCCTTCCATTCATTCATTCGTTCATTTAGACATTCGTTCGTTCTTTCATTCAGAGCTTTTATTGTCCATCACATCATCGTCATTATTGTCGGCGAGATGGCCAGAGTTGTCATCATCATCATCACCACCACAAAAAACTGCCATCCTCATCATTACCATCACGAAAAATTTTCATCATCATCATCACCACTACAAAAAATTGTCATCATCACCACAAAAATTTTCATCATTGTCATCATCGTAGACCGTGTAATCACTACATCAACTAACTACTGCAACTACTACTACTACTACTACTACTACTACAACTACCACTACTACCTTTATGAATATAATAACAATAATAATAATAATTATTATTATTACTGTTACAGAGATTGTTCAGAGAGCCATTGTTCATCTTGTTGTATGCAGGCAATTACCCATTTCTCAGGATGAATGAACGAAGAAATGAATAAACGAATGAATGAACAAACGAATAAGGCTGAAAAAAATATAAAAAATGAATTAGTGAATAAATGAACGAAAGAACGAACGAACGAACTAATGAACAAACGAACGAACGAACAAAACTACAGATGGAATGAATGGATATATATATATATATATATATATATATATGGATGGAAAGATACATGTTAGAATGAATGGATCGTGCATTACCGATTAAGTGAATGAATGCATGAATTAACAGATGAATGAATTAACAAACGAACGATCGAATGAATAAACGAACGAATGAACGTAAAAAAAACCCGTTATATAATAGAACGAGTGAAAAAACCTACTGAGAACAAAACAGTGTTGCTAATTAATTTTCAATAACATTAACGAGGCAGACAATAGGATAGTGTAATAATAATTAACAGCCCGCTAATTTGTACTGATGTCATTTTTAGTCGCTCACATTAACGTTGATATTTTTGTCATTGTTGTCGTTGATGTTGTAGTTGTTGTCGTTGATGTTGATGTTGTTGTTGTTGATGTTAATGTGGTTGTTATTAAAGTTGTTTTGTTGTTGTTGTTGTTGATGTTGTTGTTGTTCATTTTTTTGTATTAATGTTGTCGATGTTGTTGCTATTACTAAATGGAAAAGGGAATTTTTTATCAACTCGCTGTCGGTAATGTCACCATCATCGTCGTCGTCGTCGTCATTCTCTCATTCTCGTCATTATCAACACACACACACACACCTCACTCACACACTCACGCACGCACACACACACTCACGCACACATACATTCATTTGTATATAAAGGATAGATAGATTTTTTAAAAGCCAGTCAATATGCTTGCATTCAAGTTGGACAATGAATGCTTTGTGGGTTTTATTTGAAAAAAATTTTCAGAAGAAAAAAAAAGAATAATAACAGAAATAAAAGCAAGCAGAAAGAGGCAGAAGCAAAACAGAAGGCATTGTTCGGAGAAGGATGAAAACATAATTCAGACAATTGAAAGCGTAATGAATGAATGCATGAATGAATGAATGAATGAATGAGTGAATGAGTGAGTGAATGTGTGAGTGAGTGAGTGAATGAATGAATGAATGAGTGACTGATTGAATGAGTGAGTGAGTGAGTGAGTGAGTGAGTGAGAGAGTGAGTGAGAGAGTGAGTGAGTGAGTGAGTGAGTGAGTGAGTGAATGAGTGAATGAGTGAATGAGTGAGTGAGTGAGTGTGAGTGAGTGAGTATGTGAGTGAAGAGTGAGTGAGTGTGTAAGCGAGTAAATAATTAAATGATTTGAATTCAAAAAAAGATGATGGTGATAATGATGAGGATGATGTAGATGGTGATGACAATAATGACATTTCTGATGACCCTTATGGTAATGAATTGATGCTCAGAATGAGTACACGGAGTTTGATTTTTCGTTGTTGTTATTTCTGAAGTTCAGAG